AGCGCTCCGGCGAAGCACTGCAGCATCAGAGGGAGGACTGATGATGATGATGATGATGATGATGATGATGATGATGACGATGACGATGACGATGATGATGATGATGATGGCCCGCGCGTCTAAAGAGGTCAGGCCCTGCGGAAGCAACGCGCGGTCTCATGCCCAAGGTACACACTCAGATTCGCCTGACTGCCGAGAAGCCCCCCCCGCCCCAGCCGAAGCAAGCGGAAAACGATACAACGGCAGTCACGGCGACTCAGCCCGAGACGCCCGCGAGCTGGTACGGGGCCTCGAGTGGGACCCCCAGGAGGATGCTGGCCGCTGCGAGGGCGGTCCGGGAGCTGGCCCCGCCTCCAGGAGCTCGCGCGCAGACAGGAAGCCTGCGCCGCCGCCAAGGCAGCCGCACTCCGACCAGTCCTCGCGCACGCTCACGTCCTCGCCCGGGCCCAGGCCGACCTCGCGCTTGTGCTGGCCCTTCGGGCCAGCCCGCCCTGGAAGAAGCCCCCGTCCTCGTCCAGGTCCAGGCCGAACTTGCGCTTGTGCTTACCCTTCTGGTCCTCCAGCGCCCGGGAGGGGGCGCTCGGCTCAGGGGACTCGACCACCCACGCGTCCGTGGCCCTGAGCGGAGGCTGAACTCGGTCGAGGGAAACGCCCACCCGCACGTCTGCGGCCTCGAGCACGAGCTCGCCTCCCCCTCCCTTGAGGGTATGCCCCTGTCTGGGGTCCCCAAGGACGCTTCCGCGTCCCGACGCCAGCCACTGGGAAGCGGCCCTCATCCCAGGGTCTTCGACCACCCACGCGTCCGTGGCCCTGGAATGCGGCTGAGCTCGGTCAAGGGCTTTGGCCACCCGCACGTCTGCGGCCTTGCTCCAGAGCTCGCCCCCCCCCATTCTGGGTCTGCCCAGCAGCGGGCTCCCCAAGGACGTCTCCGCGCCCCGACGCCGACGAGGGGCCTCTTTCCCCTGGGGCTTCGGCCACCCGCGCATCCGCGGCCCAGGGTGGAGGCTGGACCTGGTCAAGGGCTTCGGCCGCCCGCATGTCTGCGGCCTCACGCCAAGGTCCGCTGCCCTCCTTTAGGGTCTGCCCCTGTCTGGGCTCCCCGAGGACCGCTGCTGGCCCCAGTAGACGGAGGCGCTTTCGCAGGCGCCTGAGCTCCCTATGCAACCGCACCCGCGGCCTGCCATCCAGAGGCTCCAGCTGCTCGCTGCCGTCCTCCGCGATGGCGTCGACGTAGTCCCTGAAGCTCACGGCGGCTGCCGCGAAGTGGCGCCGCGCCCGCGCAGCTCGGACGCCCCCATCTCGGCCGACCCCTTCAGGCGCGAGGTCGGGCGTGACAGCACCAATGAGGCCGGCAAGAACAAGGGAGGGCGCCCCCGCCTGAATCGCCCCAGCGGTAGCCTCCTCGGCCTCGCGCCGGGGCGCCGCGCGCCTCTCCAGCCGGGGCCCCCGCTGGGCACAGCGCAGCTACGCGGCTCCCGCCGCCACGGTGTTCACGCCCTGCGCCTCCGCGTGGAGGGCGACATTACGCCGCAGGCGCTCGAGCCAGGGGCAGGGTCCTAACCCCAAGCTTGGCCTGCAGCGCGGGGAGCATCGCCTGCAGTCGCTGCCCAACCTCGCCGTCGCCGATGACGGCGCACAGGGCCTCCTCCGCGGCCTCCAGGCGAAATCGGGTCTGGTCAGCTCGCCCGAGAGCCGCCTGACGGCATCATCGGCGGACCACTCCGCCCACTCTCGGCCTGCCCTGCGCTGGGCCGCCGATCGCCTTGGCGCGCACTCCGCGCCATCCCGTGCCGCCATCGCTCCGTGAGCCAAGAGCCCTGCCCCCCCAAGGCCCTCAGAGGGACAAGGTCCAGGAGCAGGGGGGCCTACGCACAAGGCCTGAGCCACAAAACGGCTACGGATGATGATGATGATGATGATGATGATGATGATGATGATGATGATGATGATGATGATGATGATGATGATGATGATGATGATGATGGTGATGATGATGATGATGATCATGATGATGATGATGATGATGATGATGATGATGATGATGATGATGATGATAATCATGATGATGCTGATGCTGATGCTGATGCTGATGCTGCTGCTGCTGCTGCTGATGATGATGATGATGATGATGATGATGATGACGATGACGATGATGATGATGCTGATGATTATGATGATGAGGAGGAGGAGGAGGAGGAGAAGGAGGAAGAGGAGGAGGAGGAGAAGCAGGAGGGCGAGAAAGATCGAAGCCAAAGGGATTGGACATAGTTTGTCGCACCTCCAGGAATCTGTTTGGGAAGCGCCTAGTCGCCACGGCCACCTCGCAGCTCTGGTCCAAGCGCACCCCTGGCGAGCTTCCGGGGCTGGGTTTGCTGGGAAGGAGAGCGAGCAGGAGGATAGGGTGAAGTCGGGCCTGTCCCCCTGCAGGCCGACCTTCGAGGAGAAATCAACAACAGTTAAACAAATACTCAAACATGTTCAAAAAACGGACAGACAGAAACAAGTCCCCATACTATGTTTGAGCTAGTTTTGAATATTCCTCCTGTTGAGGGACAGGCCCGACTTAAGGATAGGGAGGGGGAGGAGGAGGAGGAGGATGGGGAAAGAAGGGGGGGGGAGACACGATGATCGATAGATTAGTGTTTTTGTCCCGTGCCTCCTGTGGAGGCCTCCTCGTTGCCTCCAGGAAGCCAGCCCTGTGAGGACTTGTGCGCGGGGACGACCCAGAAATTGCATCCTGAGGGAGAGTTGGGAGAGGACGAGTAGAAGAGGGCGTGAAAACAGCCCAGACCCCCGTTAAGTTTTCTTTGACGGCAAGGGGCCCCAGGAACCGACCACGCAATCCACCGGACTTTTTGTTTTCGTCGCGCGCTTGTACGGTCCCCAGTGCCCGAAGCTGGTTTCCAGGCGCCAGAGCTCTGGAGGCCGCCTGAATGGGGCTGAGGTAGACGGGGTCGGAGCATCGCACAGCATCGCCAATGCAACGGTGACGCATCGGCTACGTCGAGATGGAGCTCGTGCAGTCGAGCTTGATTGGAGAGGACACGCGAGAGGACACGAGACCCTTCCGAGGGCCGCATTGCCATAGGAATGTAGAAGGCATGGGTCGCGACTGGGGGTCTGGGAACATCGGGCCGACTCTTTGTCCGGCGCCGCTAAAAAACAATTCCGGAGGGGCATCGCCCTCAGCGGCACAGCGAAGGAGGCTACACCAGTGCAGCCTCAGCGAAACCCGAGACCGCACTCTGGCCGACTCTACCTGGGAGGAGGGAGGGAAGGAGGAACTTCCCTCCTCCCTCTCCTTCCCCTCGCACCCCCCTCCTCGACTTCCCCTGAGATCCGACGCTGCAAAACATGCAACATCTCGAAACATCACGACCGGAACCCTGGACCCCATCGTTCTGCTGCATTTGTTCGAGCCAGATCGATCTGCACCGAAGCAGGGCAGCATCTCCAATTGTGAAGAACATGCAGCGCCCGCATCTCGGGGCCTCCCCCTCTCCGCAACCTCCTCCCGCTCCCCTCCTCCTCCTCCTCCTCCTCCTCCTCCTCCTCCTTGTCCTCCTCCTCCTCCTCTCCCCTGCTCCTTGTTCCTCCCCCTTCCCGTACCCCTCTCCCTCCCAAGCGCCTGAAACCCAAACTGAGCCTTTTCTTAGGGTGGAGGGCGCAGGATGAAATCCATGTGGGCTTTTGCACCTCGAAACTCAATCCGTCTTGTGATTCACCTTTTGCAGACTCAAGCACTGCAGATCAATCGAAACGGCATTTCAGATTTCACCCTTTGCCCTCCACCCAAAGAAAATGCTTGGCCAAAGCTCTCCGTCAGCAACCCGGCTTAGCTGGAGAGCTTTGAAGCCGCGCCCTGCGCCGCCACGGGCTGCTTGGAGGACGACGCAATATATCGGTAGTGCGCGCGAGGAGGGCCCCCACAGGCAGGGGGAGAGACACGCAGAGATGCTCCTCCGCTTCCTCTTCCTCCTCCTCCTCCTCCTCCTCCTCCTCCTCCTCCTCCTCCTCCTCTTCCTTCTCCTTGTTCTCCACCTCCTCCTCCTCCTCCTCCTCCTCCTCCTCCCTTCCTCCTCCTCCTCCTCCTCCTCCTCCTCCTCCTCCTCCTCCTCCTCCTCCTCCTGTTCCCCTCCGCTTTCCCAGGGAGGAAGATGAAGGCATGACCATACTACACCTTCGGAGGTCCGCGCGGATTTCTTCGATCGGCGCCGGACCCACCTGGCGCCGCTTCCGGCGCCGGTCCTGGCGCGCTCCGTGCGACACGGAGGGGCTCCAGCGGTCCAACGCCGAGCCAAGAATTTCGAGTGGACTGTTTCTTTCCTAGATCTCCTCCCCACGCAGGACGAGGAGGAGGACCTGCACTACTCCCGCAGTTGGCATCAGGTCGACCTTGGCTTCAGAGCGCAAAGACGCAGGCGCTGCACACGCGCGTCGGCCCTAGCCTGGCACGGTCGTTGCGCGTCGGGAACAGGGCGGCGAGGGCGTGAGCGCGGCACCTTCGACGCCCGAGAGTGACGAGGGCGATGAGGACGAGGATGACGACGACGAAGACGACGGCGAGAACGGGGACGACAAGGACGGCAACGACGAGCGGGTGCACCAGGGGCAGGATGGAGGACATCGGCAGCGCACGTTGATGACTTTTTCCTCCCCCGCCATCCTGCATCCAGCTCCCTCGAGAGGCGCCCAGACCTCCGCGCTGCCGCCGCGCTGCCTTCCTTTGCTCAAAACAGGGTGACCCCGCATGGACAAAAAAAAGGAAGACATCTGGGTCTGGGGACCCCGTCGGGGTTCCCTCAAGACCGAACTTCCCGGACCGGGCTGTCGTCCTGGATCTTGTTCGACGGCCCTGGGGCCTGGCGAGGGCCCCCAGAAGCCCGAAAGCGATCAACACTTTGGAGGTCTGGGCAGCGGGCCCCACATATGGTTCTGGCCCCGGCTCCTCCCGAAGACGTCGCCGCGACCAGCTCGGCAGGCGCGGATCCGTGTCCAGCCTAGACGCTCGACGAGTTGCTCCGCGGGCTCTGCGTGGGCCTGATCACGGGCGCCAGGACGATGCCCTGCGTGCAATTCCCGTTCGGGGCGCCGCAGATGCCGTTGCAGCAGATGGCCTCGGGGCCGCAGCAGATGCTCCCGCAGCACTGGCTGCCCTTGGGGTTAGGTCGGGCGTGTCCCCCTACAGGCGGATTTTACAAGAAAAATGTAAATAATAAAAAATCCACCAAAATATTCAAAAATACTAAAACATCGTCCTCAGATTATCTTTTGATCATTTTTGAATTTTCCTCCTGTAGAGGGACAGGCCCGACTTAACCTTGGCGCAGACGAGCGCCCCTGCGCAGCAGGTGGCGAAGGGGCCGCCGGCGATGCCGTTGCAGCACGTCGCATTCTGCGGGATCGCCAGGGAGCCTCGGCACCGGCATGCTCACGTGGACCTCCTCTTAGATCGGGCCGGTCCCCCTACAGGCATATGTTTGAGGAAAACTCTAAAAATAGCCAAAAGAGATTCAAATATGGTCAACACATATGTTAAATATAGTCCCCCGACTTTTTAATAACCATTTTTGAATATTCCTCCTGTAGAGGGACAGGCCCGAATTAAACCTCCTCGCCTCCTCCTCTCCTTCGTGAGCGTTTTCTTATTCGGCGTTGCGACTGAGCGGGGTGGAGGGGGGGCGGTCTGGCTCTGGACCCCTGCTTGGTGCTGCTTGCGGCAGTGCGTCCTGTGGGGGAGAGACTCCCCCTGCTCGAAACTGGCGCCCAAACCAGCAAAGATCTACTCAATGGGGGGGGGGGGGGGGAAAAGGGGTTTTTGGGCCCCGCGCAGATCGGCAAAACAATACATGAAAAACGATCGCCTCGCCTTTTCCTCCACGCCCCCTGCTTCCCATCTCCCCGCTGTCCCTTCCAAGCCTGCCCGCCCGCCTGCCGCGCCCCCCCCGCTGCCCAAGAGCGCCCAGGATCGTTCCGAGAGCGCCCCGAGAGAACCCCACGGGGCGATTTCGAGGGACCCAGAAGGGGGGCCAAACGTTAAGACGGATCCCTCTCGTTAAGCCCATGCCCTCCACGGCCCCCAAGAGGCCCCCAGGAGAGCCCCAAGAGGGCCCCAAGACCCTTTCAAAGAGCCCAAGAAGACTCCAAGCTCCCCCAAAGAGCCCCAAGGGGGCTCCAAGAGGCGGTTTTGAGAGCTCTTTCCTCGTCCTCGTTGTCCTTCTCCTCCTCCTCCTCTTTCGCCTCCTCCTCCTCCTCCTCCTCCTCCTCCTCCTCCTCCTCCTCCTCCTCTTTCTCCTCCTCCTCCTCCTCCTTCTCCTCCTCCTCCTCCTTCTCCTCCTCCTTGTCCTCATCGTTTCCCTTTTCCTTTTCCTCCTCTTCCTCGTCGTCGTGGTCGTCTTCGTCGTCGTCTTCCTCCTCCTGTTCCTCCTCCTCCTTCTCCTCGCCGTCAAAACAAAGGGCATCATCGGATCGCCGGAAAATCATCGTCGAATCGGATCGCACCGGGCGACATCGGCATGGAATCGGATCGATCGAAGGGCCCTGGGCGGACGGTTCACAGCTGGTCTTAGGTCGGGCCTGTCCCCCTACAGGCCGACTTTCGACGAACAATTAAACATAATCACAAAATACCCCAGACTGGTCAAAAATATCTTAGAAATCGTCCCCGTAATAGTTTTGTAATCTGTTTTTGGACTTTCGCCCTGTAGAGGGACGGGCCCGACTGAAAGCTGGTCGCAGAGACCATAGGTCTGTCGCCCACGCGCACGCAGGAGTGACCCTGGGCAGGATGGACTTCTAGTGCGGAGTCTCCGGGGGCCGCGAGAGGGCCGGATCCGAGCGCGCAGGCCGGCGCTGGGCGAGCCCCCGTGAAACCGCGCCACAGGGTCACTCTGGCGAAGGGTCACCCTTACGCGCAGCCGAGTCCACCCCACCCCAGCACCTCCTCCTCCTCCTCCTCCTCCTCCTCCTCCTCCTCCTCCTCCTCCTCCTCCTCCTCCTCCCCCTCCTCCCTTTTCAGCGGCTCTCCCTTCACTGCTGCAATCCACGAGCAAGGCAGCTGCGCATAAGATGAATAATAAAACTTGCTCTGTCGGATTCCGGGGACGCGTGGCCGGGCACAGCGCCGCGCGCGAGCCGTGACTCCGTGGACGGGCGCCCGACCGTAGCGCCGCACGCGAGCCCAGCTCCTCCCCACTCTCACCAATAAAAAGCCAGCAGGCATACGTTGCGAGAGCGCAATCTGACTACTGACAGCGCCGCACACGAGCCCAACCCCTCCCAACTCTCATCAATAAAAGCCAACAGGCACACGCTGTGAGAGCGCAATCTGACTGCTGGCAGAGGACAAACCCAGAGCACCACTGCTGTGGGCAGTTCGCGTCGTCTGCGGGCGGAGCGATACCTTGCAGGCTCATCGCCTGGCCACGCCCTCGGACACAAGAGTTCAGACGATCGCGCTTCCGAGTGGAAGATCTGCTCAGCTGGCGGCCGCTATCAACAATGGACTGTGCAGAAATAGAGCGAGAATGTACTCCAAACGAGCTCGCTTGCGGAGAAACGGTGACCTCGACGGACTGTTCTCAGCAGTGTACTGCGAAGAAATATCCACGGATGTAATCGAGACGAGCCCTCTTGCGAGAAAAACGGTTGTCTCGACTGGCTGTCTGATCGCACAGAACACTGCAATGCAATCTCACGGATATACCTGAATTTCTGGATCGCGTGATGCACGGCGGGTGCGGCTCCGACTGGCACGGGGGAGAATACCACTGCGCCGCGCGAGCATTATGTCGGGCGTGTCCCCCTACATGAGGATTTTCGACAAAAAATTGTAAATGGCCCCAAAATACCCCAAAAAGGTCAAAACATATCCCCAACATAGTCCCCAGACTATGTGGCCCTCAAATTACGATCGCACGTCGATCGGGTGCCACCGCCCCGCCCCGGGAACGAACTCGGCAACCCCCGCACGAAGCACATGGCCTCCAGGAGCGGCTGGCCGCTGAGGAGAGGGGCGAAACTCCGCCGCATCCGCTCTGGGCTCGTTGGTCTGCCTGCCAGCCTTGGATACAAGGAAACGCTCTCATGCAGTCAACGCGCCCGGTAAGGACGCGCGCCTTCACCTAGGGTGCCCTTGTGCCCTTGCCTCTGAGGCTCGTCCTTGCCATTATCACTGGTCGCCCGCCGCCCTAAAAACAACAATTTCGGCCTCCCAGGGTCTTGCGTCCTTATCACCCGTCCTTAATATACGTTTTGACTGTACAGCCGATTGCCACACGCAGCCGCCGCGGAGGGCGCGCGGCAGGCAATCGCCCTGGCCCTCCAGCAGCTTGCACACCATGGGAATGAAAGAATGCACCTCGCTGCAGTCAGGACCGCCGCCACCAAGGCGGGGGCCTCTCGGCGCCTGGCGCCACTCGGAGAGCGGCGCATCTGCGCTAGGGCACTGCTTGGAGTGCAAGGCCACGTTCCGGATGAGCTGTTGCGTCCCCTCCACCGTGAGGCCGGCCACCTCCGCCGCCAGCACGGGCCTCGCGAGGGCCTCTCGCCGAGAGACCTGAGTCGGCACCGAGAGCGTTGATTAGGGCAGCCTGCAGCTCCCGTGCACGTTGGAGTGCGACTCGAACCGCGATGAGGTCTGCAGTCAGCTTCTGAATCAAGTTGTCGGCAGAAGCGCGCGCCCCTGCCTTGCCTCTTAGCGCCAGATACTCGCCAAGCGCCGCCGAGACTCCCGCAGCCACCATGCTCGCACCGCCCGGCCGCGGCGCCTGGGGATTTCGAGCTAGCTAGAACCAGAATGGCTACGGACCTCCTCCTCCTCCTCCTCCTCCTCCTCCTCCTCCTCCTCCTCCTCCTCCCCTCTGCTCCTCCTCCTCCTCCTCCTCCTCCTCCTCCCCTCTCCTCCTCCTCCTCCTCCCTCCTCCCTCCTCCTCCCCTCCCCTCCTCCTCCGCCTCCTCCTCCTCTTCCTCCTGCACCTCCTCCCTCCTCCTCCTCCTCCTCCTCCTCCTCCTCCTCCCTCCTCCTCCTCCTCCTCCTCCACCCGCTGCTCCCCCTCCTCCTCCCCCTCCCTATCACACCCCCTCCCCCTCCCCCTCCCCTCCCCCTCCCCCCTCCCGCCCCCTCCCCCGCCCGACCGCCTCCTCCTCCTCCTCCGTCCTCCTCCTCCTCCCTCCTCCTCCTCCTCCTCTCCTCCTCCTCCTCCTCTCCTCCTCCTCCGCCTCCTCCTCCTCCTCCTCCTCCTCCTCCTCCTCCTCCTCCTCTCCTCCTCCCCCTCCTCCTCCTCCTCCTCTCCTTCCCCTCCCCCTCCTCCTCCTCCTCCTCCTCCGCTTCCTCCTCCTCCTCCTCCTCCTCCTCCTTCTCCTCCTCCCCCTCTCTCCCGGGTCGCGCTCCGACCGTAACATCAATGGGCAGTCAAGCCGCAGCGCTGGGCGGACTCTTGGAGGCCAAACAGGAGCAGCGCACGAACCATCGAGCAGAATCTCGGCCCCAAACATCCGACAGGGTGGCTCTTCTTCAAGCCGCGACCCCACAGCTCCCGACCACCTCCCAGGGGGGGCGGTGTTTTTTGGTAACGGCCCGCAGAGGTGGACACGTGGGGGAAAGCAACCTGTTTGCCAGCAGCGACTGTGAGTTCACTGAAGGCCAACATGGCTCACTGAAGGTCATGGTTTTCCACTGAAGGCACATGGGCGACGCTGAAACAGGTCTTACGCGGGGTGACGTAGCGACGCCGCAGCTTATGCGGGTCGCCAGCGCGGCACGCCACCTTGGAAGCGAGGGCGCTTACGCGCAACCTTACGCGGGCACCTTATGCGCCAATGTCGGCGCAGACGACCCGCTTGCCCTCAGCGAGCCGAACATGGCTTGCCCTCAGTGAGCCGAACATGTTGTCCCCAGCGCAGCGCCGAAGAGCGACAGCCGGGCCGCGGCCGAACGAACTGCGCACCGACGCAAGAATGGAGAAGCAGAGAGGGCGGGGGCGAGCACAAAACAAACGACACGCCTGCGAAGCATAAGACGCAGAACAACTTTACAGTAATGACACGAATGGGGGGCACGATGGGCAACTGCTCCCGAGGATCCGGCATCCCTCACTGGACGTTTCGAGTAGGGCTACGACGACTCCAGAATCAATGTACCCCGAAGCTAATTGTCTCGTCGAGCCACGCGTGACAATAATGTTCGTAGATCTAAGAACATTCTACGCATTTCTCGTGGACACGACGAACAAATTAATTCTGGGGTAAACCAGTTCTGTAGTCGATCCCCTACTCGATCGTGAGCAGAACAAATCACAAGACCCCTACACTTAGGTCAGGCATGTCCCCCTACAGGCGGGTTTTGGACGAGACATGAAAATAGCTTTAAACATAATCAGCAATGATCAGCGCAAGTTGAAAAATAGTCCCCAGCCTATGTTTGGACTATTTTTGAATGTTCCTCCTGTAGAGGAACATGCCCGACTTAACCAAACATAGAGGAATAATAACAAGACGAAGAAGAAGCAGACGAAGAAGAAACGCAATAAACATAAACTGTTGGCGCTCCGCGCGGATTTGTTTGTTTTGACCTGCGCCGGACCCCCCTCCTGGGCGCGCGGAGCGCGCCGGGGGCGGCTTCCCTGAGGCGCAGCGAGAGAAGGGGGGGGCGAGCTCAGGGGGAGAAGCATCGCCCTCGAAGCGGCGATACGTCGCCGACAGATCGGACATATGTGTTCCCGATAGCGACCGCGCACGCTCCTGGGCGGCGTGGGCCACGTATCGTGCCACTGCGGGGGTGATCAATGGACGATGGGGAGTCGATGCGCTCCCCTTGAGTCGGGCCTGTCCCCCTACAGGGGGATTTTCGACGAAACATAAACATACCCAACAAATAATCAAACAATAATCCAAACATAGCCTGGGGACTATGTTTGGGGTATTTTTTTTTATACCTTTTTGGTGTATGTTTGGACTTTTTTATTCTCGTCGAAAATCCCCCTGTAGGGGGACACGCCCGACATAACGCTCCCCTCTGAGCCCCCCCCCCTCCTAATGTTGCCCCCGCCTCCTTCCTCCTCCGCCCCCCTTGCCACAAGTGCCCCCAGGGGAGCCGCAGTACTTCCACCCTGGGCCGAGGGGCGCCAGCTTCACCGGCGGGGGGGCGGGCACGGGCATCAGCAGGGGGCTGACGCCCATGGTGACGGGCACGCGGCTCAGCACGTCGGTTATCGCCTCCGCCGCCGGCCCTGCCGTGGTCATGGCCGTGGTCGCCGCCGTCGGCACAGCCGCCGACGTCGTCGTGGTCATCACCGCCGCCGCCGGCTGCCGCCGGCTGCCGCCGCCGCCGCCGTCGTCGTGGTCGTCGTGGTCGTGGTGGTCGTGGTGGTCGTGGTCGTCGTGGTGGTGGTGGTCGTGGTTGTCGTGGTCGTGATCGTGGTGTTCGTCGTCGTCGTCGTCGTCGTCGTCGTCGTGGTCGTCGTGGTCGTGGTCGTGGTCGTGGTCGTGGTCGTGGTCGTCGTCGTCTCTGTCGCGTTCTGGAGCTCGGCGACGTTGTCCGCCAGGGCCTGCACGTCCGCCTGGCTTGGCGGCCGGGAGCTATTCTCCTCCTGCAGGGCCACGACCTCCTCGAGGGGGGTGAGGGGGCACGCCTCCAGAGCGCGCGCTCTCGAAGGCGAGGGGCACAAGGACACACAAATAAATGCACACAAATAGCATGATTCCCAATTTTTCCCACTATTTCCTGGATTTCCGTCTGCCCCCCCACGTCAATATTTTCTCATATTTTCTGGATTTTCGTCTTCCCCCCCACTGGAGGGGGCACGCCTCAGGTCCGGCGTCCCCCTACAGGGGGATTTTGGGTGACAAATAAAACATACCGAAAACAGATTCAAACATAGTCAACAACACTTCTCCAATCGTCCCCATATCGCTTCTGGGCTATCTCTGAACACTCCCCCTGCAGAGGGACAGGCCCGACTTGAGGGCACGCCTCCAGAGCGCGCGCTCTCGAAGGCGAGGGCAGAGGTCAGAAAACTCGCGGAAGCCTTTGGTCGTCCCCATCGCGCCAAGTAGCGCGCCAAGCAGACGAGATGCATGTCTCCCACATGGCGCCATTGGGCGCTGTTGGGCATTTTTCGGCGCCACTTGGGCGCTCTTGTGCGCTATTCGCCGATCTGCTTTCAATTCAAGACGAGCGGAAGCTTCCGTGACTTGCTATCGAAAGGAGGGGCGGGGAGGAGGGGCGAGGAGCGAGGGGGGAGCTAGGAGGGAGCGAGGAGGGAGCGAGGAGGGGGGCGAGTCGGGAGCGGAGCGTGTGGTGGGGGCGGGTGGGACGAGGTGGGAGGAGGCCGGGGCGCGGAGGGGCCAACGGGAGGGGGGGGGGAAGCGGGGAGGGCGGAGTGGCGCGAGGCGTTCCAGGAGCCCCCCCCCACTCCCCTGCAGAAGCCGGCCAGACAGCTCCAGAGTCGTCTGCCGCCGTCGGCAGCCGCCGCCGTGGCCGCCGCCGTGGCCCGTCGCCTGCTGCTGCCGCCGCCGCCGCTGCCTGCCGCCGTCCATCGTCAGAACTGTGGCCGCCGTCTGCCGCCGCCGCCGCAACTGTGGCCGCCGCGGCGCCCGCCGCGGCGGCCGCCGGTGGCCGTCCTGCGCCCCTCCGCGCCCGAGCCGGGCGCCGCCGCGGCCGCCGCCGCGAGCCGAGCGGCCCGTGGCCGCCGCGGCCGCGAGGAGGGCGAGCGCGGCCAGCGCGGTGGCCGCCACCGCCGCCTGCCGGGCTAGGAGGCAACTGCTGGGAGGGCTGCGTCGGAAAGATCCTCCTCCTCCTCCTCCTCCTCCTCCTCCTCGCCCCTCTTCCTCCTCCTCCTCCTCCTCCTCTCCTCTTCCTCCTTTTCCTCATACTCCTCCACCTCCCCTGCCTCCTCCTCCTCCTCCTCCTCCTCCTCCTCCTCCTTCTCCTCACATCCTCCTCCACCTCCCCCGCCTCCTCTTTCTTTTCCTTCTCCTCCTCCTCTTCTCCTCCTCCTCCTCCTTTAGGAGAATCCCATCAGCCCTTCAGGGCGTGGGTGGTCTGGGGAGCTTACCCTTCCAACCCACTCCGTCCCCTTCGGGGAGGGGTGTTTCACTGTTCCCTATCAATAAACGCCCCCTCCCCCACCTGGCCGACAACCAACCTGGAACCATGCGGGCCCCCCACCCCAACCATCCACTTCATTAAACAATGCAACATGCAAATTGCGCGACTCACCCTGCCAACACCCTCCACAATCCCTGTCCAAAAACAGTACGAGGTGCACATTGCAGCAAAATCTGGACAGTGCGCTGGCGCCCTGTGAGCACGTTGTATTGTTTTTGTTGGCAGGGATGGCACGGCACCCTTCGTGAAGCCGCTTTGTGCAGGACCACCATCCGTGCCAAACACCATGTAACATGCACGTTGCGACAAGGTCATAAGTACTGTGCTGGCCACCCGCGATCACTTTGTTTTGTTTTTTTGACATGGACGGCGGTGGTGCCCGCATGATGATGCTTGCTGTGCGCAGGCCCAGAACAATGCTGAGGCCTCCCACATCAGCATCTGGACCATGCGGACGGGGGGGCATCAAATTTTCGATAAGGACGGCACACCAACCGCATGTGGAGCCCGCGGCGAGCCTCGCGCATCTGGCGTCCGCTTTGGTTCCCAGTGGCTGTCTATCCAGTGGCGACCCCTGGCTATGCCGAGACTCGGATGTCACTTATGTGGTGGGAGGGCGGGTGGGGGTGAGCTAGACGGCCTGCGTGCGGAGAGCGTGTCTTGACCCTTCCCCCTACCCCCTCCCCTGGATCTGGACGGGGGGGTCCGCGGGTACTTGGAACGTCCAAAACGGCTTCGGCGAAGATCCCAAACTCATTGGTTTTACGACGGTTGTGGCTCCATGTTGGCCTCCTGGGGGGCGATGCTAAGTGGGGACCCCCCTTCTCTGATCAATATCACCCAAGATTGCCCAAAGATGGCCCCCAAGGCTCCCAAGGGTGCCCAAAGAGGAACCCAAGAGGTGGCCAGGAGGCCCCAAGAGGCCCCCAAGAAACCCCCAGGATGCCTCCAAGAGGCTCCCAGGAGGCCACGAAGAGGCCCCCCAGAGGCACCCAAGACGCTCCAAGAGGCCTCGGCGAGAATGCCAACATGATTGATGTTACTAAGGTGTTGGCCACATGTTGGCCTCTTGGGGGGAGGCACGGATTAAGATGACCCCAGGAGCGCCTGGGAGAGGCCTGGGAGATTCCAAGATGACTTCCAAGATGGCTCAACATATCCCGAGATGCCTCAAAATGGCTCCAACGATGCTCCGAGTTGCCCCAAGACCGCTCCAAGACGGCTCCAAGTGGCCACAGAGCTCCCCCAGGAGGCCCCGAAGAGGCCAAACCTTCGGATAATCCATGCTTTTTTGCTTTCTCACCTTTCCGCTTCCGATGGCCATCCGAGGCCTCAAGATGGCTCCAAGATGGCCCAAGAGGGGAGGCGGCCCCGAGAGCGCCCAAGAACGCTCCAATAGCGCCCCAAGAGGCGACTGGTTGGGCTCCCGAGGGGCAGCGCTAATTAATGCTCCCTTTTTGTTTGATCGATGTCCTCCAAGATGGCCCCCAAAACGCTACCAAAGCTCCCAAGAGCGCTTGAAGAGGGCCCCAAGAGGGGACCAGGAGGCCCCAGGAGGCCCCGACAGGCGCCCCCACTGGGGGACCCTTTCTCTGTGAGCTGCCCACTTCCCTGATCGAGGCAATTCCTCTGGGCATCGTTTCTGGATGAGCTGGTGGGACTATTTCTTCGTCGCGGCCGCCAGCGGAAGCGCAGGCGGCGTCCGAAGTCAGCCCGGGCTACGAGCCAAACCTAATTACCTAAGCGCGCGAACTAACGGCCGCCGAAACTGCCGCCGAAGGACGCCGAGAACCGTCGCCGGGGACTGAAGGCAGAGCTGGAAGAGGTGCCAGGTGTGCCAGGCGGCTGAAGTGCAGCCATTCCAAGGGCTAGACCACCAGGAAGGCAAACGAATTGTACCTTGTCGCGCCAGGCGCTGTACCTTGTTCCGCCAGGCGCCAGATGTAAACGAGCCACCCGAACAAAGCACGGCATAGCGTGGGGCTGAGCAAGCAGCCCAGCGTACCTGTGTCGCATGCCAAAGATGGCAACCTCAGGTGGTTGAACAAGAAGGCTAGCTGGTGGGGCTACGCGAACCGTATAGAATTACCCCATTGGAGGGCTGCTACGTTGGATTGAACTGAGGATTAAGCGGGATTCAGCCAGATTGGGCGGGGTTAAGCCGGATTATAACGGGATTCAGCCAAATTTGGACCATGGCGAAGTCCGCCGACCCCTTGTGGGTCCCTAGGCGGGTGAGATAGTTCCCCCCCCATAAACCCCCCCCATGGGACCCCAAACCGACGATTTAACCCCCCCCCCCCGGCCCCCCCCCGGGCCCACGCCGAGCGACTCACGGGCCTCTTTTGGGCCCAAATGGAGCTCAAGACGGGACAAGAAGGTGCCAAGACGTCTCCAAGACGGCCCACGAGGGCCCCGAGACGCCAAACGAGCGCCCCAAGACGCCGAAGATGGCCCCAAGACGAGCCAAGAGGCCTCCAAGACGGCCCAAGAGGCCTCCAAGAGCAGTCCTCAGAAGGGCCGAAGAGCCGAAAATCGTCAAATTCCTATGGGAAAACGTACATGTTCATCATGTACGACCTGTCGGCCTTTACGGCGTGGAAGATGGTCCAAGAGCACCCCAAGACCGCCCAAGAGGCCCCCAAGAGGCGCTAGAGTCGGCCCAAAAGGGCGCCAAGACGGCCCAAGAGGCCCCCAAGACGGCCCAAGAGGGCCCCAAGACGGCCTCAAAAGTGGCCCGAGAGGTGGAGCTTGAACCGACAATCCGAGCCTTCCGCCCCAAGACGGCCCAAACGAGCGCTCCAAGACGCCCAAGATGGCCCCAAGACGAGCCAAGAGGCCTCCAAGATTGCCCAAGAGGCCTCCAAGAACAGTCCTCAGAAGGGCCGAAGAGCCGAAAATCGTCAAATTCCTATGGGAAAACGTACATTTTCATCATCTACGACTTGTCGGCCTTTACGGCGTTGAAGACGGTCCAAGCGCACCCCAAGATCGCCCCAAGACAGCCCAAGAGGCCCCCAAGAGGCCCCCAAGAGGCCCCCAAGAGGCGCCCAAGTCGGCCCAAGAGGGCGCCAAGACGGCCAAGAGGCCCCCAAGACGGCCCAAGAGGGTCCCAAGACGGCCCCCAAGACGAAACCCAAGAGGTGGAGCTTGAACCGACAATCCGAGCCTTCCGCACCAAGACGGCCCAAACAAGCGCTCCAAGACGCCCAAGATGGCCCCAAGACGAGCCAAGAGGCCCCCAAGACTGCCCAAGAGGCCTCCAAGAACATTCCTCAGAAGGGCCGAAGAGCCGAAAATCATCAACTTCCTATGGGAAAACGTACATGTTCATCATATACGACTTGTCGGCCTTCACGGCGTTGAAGACGGTCCAAGAGCACCCCAAGACCGCCCCAAGAGGCCCCCAAGAGGCGCTAAAGTCGGCCCAAGAGGGCGCCAAGACGGCCCAAGAGGCCCCCAAGACGGCCCAAGAGGGCCCCAAGATGGCCCCAAGAGGGGCCCAAAAGGGGGAGCTTGAACCGACCATCCGAGCCTTCCGCCCCAGCACGGCCCAAGAAGGCCCCAACAGGCCCCAAGAGGCCCCCACCCCAAGACGCCCCTAAGAAGCCCCAAAAGGCCCCCAAGAGGGCCCCAAACGGCCCCAAAACGGCCCCCAAGAGGCTTCCAAACTGCCTCCAAGAGTCCCGCGAGGAGCCCCCCAAGAGATCCCCGCGATCACATCCTCCTCCTCCTCCTCCTCCTCCTCCTCCTCCTCCTCCTTTTCCTCCTTCTCCTCTTCCTCCTCCTCACGACCACACGCTGCACGCAACATTGCAGGAGAATGGTGCCGACACTGCATGCGACCCCAGAGAAACCACAACGCTTTTCGAACAAAGGGGTCGGCGGATGTGGCGTACGCCTATATAATCATAATTTGACCTCTCAGGAGTTGCATCCGAAAGGAGAGCAAGCAACACACACACATACACACATACATGCACACATGCAAACTATACAAAGGAAAGGGCAAGCCGGATTAAGCGGGATTCAGCCGGATTAAGCGGGATTTCGGACCAGGGCAAACTCATACTTTTACCTCCCAGGAGTTGCATCCGAAAGCAGGGCCAGCAGATCATATCAAACAAATCCCAAATGGTCAAACATATTATAAATTACCCTGTGACGTACCCAACCCATTTGTATCAATGGAAACGAGGAGTTGGCCGAAACTTGCAAGGACAATCAACTTGATGTGTGAGCTACTTGGGACACGCGCCTATGGCATGATGCGCAGGGGAACCATACAAGAACGAGGGGCGGCAACTAGAAGCTCGCAGAGGACATGGGGAGCCGGGAACGCAGAGCAGGAGAAAAACGTGCGGGAAGCCGAACCATCAGCACGGCAGCAGCAGAGGGAAGGTGACTGCAGGAGGAGAACAAGGACGAAAGCGACGTCTAATTTGAGTCTGCGGTGGGTACCCACAGTGCTGTGCCCCTCAGCAGCCCTCGAAAGTGGCGACAGTTTCACAGATCGCAGCCCCCAGGGATGGCGAGGTCTAATTTGAGTCCGCGGTGTGTACCCACTGTGCTGGGCCCCCCAGCAGGCCTCGAAAGTGGCGACAGTTTCACAGATCGCAGCCCCCCAGGGATG